TTGTCCCCTCCTAAAGAAAAAGGGATCAAGTAAGAAAAAGACATTTGTGGCGGCTTGGAGTGATGAAGATGACTCCAATGATGAAGATGAAGTAGTCAACCTATGCCTCATGGCCATCGAAGAAGTTTCAATGGTATCCTCTAACTCTTGTGATTGAAATTCTTATTCATTTAAAGAGTTACAAGATACCTATGATGAATTATATTTGGAATTTGAGACCATGAATTCCAAATATAAGAAATTGATTTCAAAATTCAAAGTTGAAAATGATTTTCTCTTGAAAGCAAAATTAGATTTTGAAAAGCAAAATGAAAATTTGAAAAATAATTTTGAGCTTTCAAAAACCAAAATTGAAGATTTGGAAAAAGAAAATCTTGATTTGAAAGTTAAGCTTGAATGTTTAACAAAAGAAAAAAAATCATTTCGAAAAACAATTCATCTATTTTAAAAATGGCAAAATGCTCACATTGCCATTTTCATTGTCATATGGAACATATTGTTCCTTTAAAGAAAGGAAAACATTTTAAAATTAAACAAGTATGAGTTCCAAAGGGAATAAGGGACATTGAAACTAACGTTCAAGGATCTAAAGCAATTTGGATACCAAAATCCAAATGAATGTCTCTTGTAGGTGTGTGGAGCAATGGTGATGAAAGTGAAGATACTCAAATGCTCTAGCCATACTTGAAAAGGAATGGGTAACCTTTAAGCTAAATGTTTTTGTTTTGATTAATTGGTTGCCTATTTGTTGTATGCATGCATGAGTTTTGATTTTAAAGGATTTTTTGTTTTTCACCTCATGTATGTTGAAAAGTGTATTATGATGGACATTTAAAGTTTTAATGATTTTTCATAATTTTTCGTTCATCATAATAATTTTTGGTCAAAATTGGTTTTAATGTTTTTTTTACAAATTTTTTATTTTTGACCTTAATTTAAATGTTGATGCAAGTGATTTATTGCAAATGATATCTCTCTAACAATTGATATAAAATTTTAAAATGCATAACATTTTTTTGGATAGCTTTATGCACATGCACTTAAATTCAACAAATGGTATTGCATAAAATATTTTAGACTTGGATATATTGAATTTCATATGATAATAAATGTTTATTCATTTTTGTTGAAATTCAAAATTTTTTAAGTGTCATGCTTTTTAAAGTTAAATTTTTGTTTGGAATGCATTTATTGAGGGGGAGCTTTTGATTTTTCAAATTATTTTAATGCTAAATTTTTTACTTACTCTCCATTATTGTTTTGAACCTTCAAATTTGAATTATTTTTGATATAACAAAAAAGGGGGAGAAGTATGTGTTTGAAAAATTCAATTTCAACTATGAAAAGCGGAGCTTTAATCTTTTCAAAAATATGTCTTTTTTTTCATTAAATGTTTTATTAAGGGAGAGTTTGTCAAAAACAATTTTTTAAATGTTTTGTTATATCAAAAAGGGGGATATTGTTGAACTATGTTTTATAATATTTTGATATAACAAATTAAGACAAAATGTTTTTGGACTTGAATTGAATTTGTTCAAACTTTTTCAAAAGTTTTCAAAAATAATTCAAAGTCCATTAAAATAGAATTTGAGCACAAAATGCTTTTCTGGGTATATAGTACTGATACTGTTCACGTGGTACCGATACCAAGGGTAAGAGAAGTATCGATACTCTTAAGGTAGTATCGATACTACCAAGTGTTTTTCAAATAACTCAAATTCCAGAATGCAAAATAGGTACTGATACTCAAAGTAGTACCAATACTACTTTACATCGTAGTATCGATACCATGATCATAGTATCGATATTGGTCAAGCCCAATGGTTAGTAACGGCTAGTTGATTTAAAATTATAAAGGTAGTACCGATACTCTTAAAGGAGTATCGATACTCCCTATCCTGAGTAGTTTTATTTTGTAGAAAAATTACCCCCAACGGCTCCAAATCATCCCCAACGGCTAGAAACGGCCACAAACACATTCCAACCTATAAAAACAAGTTGATGACACTTGAAGAAGGGTTAGAACACCTATCCAAGCAATCAAACACAAGAGAAGAGTTTTTCATTCTTATTTTCATTTCTCTTGTAAATATTTTTGTTATTGTGAGATTAATTTTGTAAACACCTACGTTGTAAGGGTTTCTTGTTTACATCTTTATTCCTTTCAAAAAGGGTTTTTTGTTCTAGTTTAGCCAAATGAAAAACTAGGGATTTGTAAAGGTTACCTCTTTATCCTGTGAAAAAGAAAGATTAAATTAGTGAATTTGTTAGAAAATTCTTAGTGAGGAGCTAAGGTAGTAGATGTAGACTTGGTTGAGAAGTCGAACCACTATAAATCCTTGTGCATCAATTTTCTCATCTTTTAAATCTCCTTAATCCCTAAAATTTCTCAAATCCACTTCAACCCCTCTTGGCAAAATCATGCGGTTGATCATTAAGCTTCATCGATAATCCCAACAAACTGTCTTTACAACATGCTAAGGTTAAATAATACTTTGATTCTGGCCCATTACAAACTTTACGAATTGAATTCAATCTAGGGGATCAAGCCACTATGTGAGTGTGTCAGAAACTAGTATCCGGACAAACACTTAGAATGTTTTCCAAAAGTAATTTGCCAGACCTACCAGAGGAAAACCATTATCCCTTGGTGGTGTCACGTTTTCTGCCTATATAGGTGAAACGGGACGAAGCTCGGGTATAGAGTTATAATAGGAAACAATCCTAAATATTTTCAATCAAGTGTAAGCAATAACCAGAGAGAAAATATTTTTTTAATTTTTAAATGAACATAATGAATCGTAAATTAAATAAATTTGAACTCAAAATTTCAAATTTAGGGTGATTAACTCGTGGCTTGACTCTCAGTTTTTGTTAAAAAAAAAATCCTTAGCATAGCCGCCAAGCTATCACAACCGGCCTTCCGGGGGAAAAGCTGACTAGTTGCAACGATGGGGTTTTGAAATGAAATGTTGGTACTTGCCACTAATGAACACCAAAATTCATGTAATTTTAATAAAACATATTGTTTTATCAAAAATACCAAAATTATGTCTACAAAAACTAGAAATCGGGTTTGGGAGTCGGTTACTCGTGGGGAATGATTACACCCCGACAACGCCCAGAAATTTGATACATGGTCGATTACCCTATATTAATATTTGGGAAATTTGAGTTTGAGATATTATTTAATTAAAAATCATTATGGATACAAATCTTGAAAAAGTTATTGGTTTATTGAGACCCATAATGGCCACCGTCAGGCATGTTATGCAAATCTTTGTTATTGATTCTAATAAGAAGACATTGCCTTGATAATTTAGAAAATATTATGTAGGGTTTTGAAAAGGATGTTGATTCACTTCGAGAATTACCAGTGGTCACTTCTTGAGCATAATCAGGAGGATACACTATTAAATCCTTGATGATTGAACATTGACTTATTATTTAAAATCATAATACAATAACACAATTATTTTAAGGACCTAACTATACTATGTGAGCTAATTAATGCTTTCTTTAACCTAGAGTGTCAAATTATGAAAATTAGAGAACATAAAGATCTAAACCTAAAAAATGAAAGCTCTAATAGTAACCCTAATTTAATTTAACTAATTATTGAATCGAATAATTGAAATGGTCCTTCGAGCATGTTAATGCGAAAGCCAATTCAGATTACTCCCTATATTAAAGGAAGAAAGTGTGAGAAATATAAATCTAGAGGTTAAATTATAAAGAAACCTAAGTTTGAAGGCTAAACCTAAAATCTAAATATTTAATAGGGATTAAATTAAGGAATATACAAAGAAAGCACTAAATTATAAATTACAAGAAATTAAAAACCATAGATCTAAAGACTTGAAAATAAAGGGCATAAATGAAATAAAAATAAAATTAACGAATGGAATATGATTAGAAATTAGTGGTTAATAAACATTAAGGCAGAGACTCAAGTGTTATAAAAGTAAAATTCTGGGGCTAATTCGAAATGAATAAAAATATTAACAATGACTAAAACAGAGAGATGAAAAATTAACAAAATAAAAAGTGACCAAAATGAAACGAAAATAAAACAGTACATTCAAATCATAAAATAGAAAAAAGTCTAGAATCAAAATGTAAATTCAGGGAAAAGTTTCAATGGTACAAGAGAGAATAACCCAAATATTAAACTAATATATACGAAAAATGGAAAATCTCAAAATAAGGACAATCATTTCGAATATTAAAAACAAGGGTGACTAAAGTGTAAAATAAAGCCTAAAGTAGAAGGATTAAAGTGTGATCACTCCTAAAATTTAAGAATGTAAACTATATTCTACAATTTCGAGTGAGTTTCCCCCTTAACCCTAAGGGTTGTTTGGTTCTCATTCCTCCGTTTGGTTGGCCAATAATCTTATTTTTAGTACTTTTTTATTATTAACAGTATTTTTTTGGGTATATTACCAGGAATGTAATTATCTTACTCCCTTAAATATTGTTGGATTACCAACGTTTTGGATTAAAATGACCTTAATTTTTTCCTCAAAATTATTCTTCTTCTGCTGTTGAATAATAAAAATTCTACGAAGGTTAAATTACAAATTTATCTTTAAACTATATTAGATTTACAAAAAAGTCTATAATTAAAATTTTATATGAAGTTCATGGTTAAAATAAAATTTTACTATTTCATTAAACCTATTTATCTTTTTAATTTTATAAAAAAATTATATAAATTTTATGAATTTAATTTTTTTAAATATTTAAATTAATTATAGTAATAGTATAGTAGAATTCAATTTATTAAAAAAAACAAATATATAACAATTATAATTTGATAAAATATACATTTTAATAATTTTTTATTCCTTTAACCAAATACGATAAACTTACTTTCTTATTAAATTAATCAAATACAATAATTTTACATTCTTACTAAATCAACCAAATACAAAATGCAACATTATTATCAATAATTCTATTCTATTCTATGTTAATCTTTTATTCCTACTGTCATAATCTCACTTTCCAATTTGTTTTTCTCTCCAAACTACTCTTGCTCAGCCGTAAGCTTCCAAAGACCATTGCCCCCATTCCCACACTTTAATCTGGCGCTTCTTCACTTTGGCCACCACCCATGGTGGCCGATCGACTCCAATCCCAACCTTGTTTGTTTTTTAAGGAGTAACTCTTCCTCTATTTTTTAACTCCTTGACACCAAACTCTAATGATGCTAGACAAACAACCCACAGTCAAATATATTTCAACCTTTCGACTCTCGATTCCGACGGCGATGACTCCGGCGACCCTCGGTTCTCCCTTTTCCCGACGCGAAGACAAGGTGAACTTCCCGATGGCTCTAACTTACGTCGAAAAAACAAACCGAGGAGGTAAACGAAACCCTTCTTTTATCTCTATTTTGCATGATTCAAAATCCTCCTTAAAACGAAGAACAGAAATAAAAGGAACCCTCTACCTTTTGAAAATATTCACTGCCTTTGTATTGATTTCAGAGTAAAAATCTCATAAAGATTAGAAAATCAACTGTGTAGTCTCTATTTTTTTGTATTGATCGTGTAAAAGAAAAATGAAGAAAAGCAAGATGTTTACAATTTTCTCTCTTTTGTAAAAAATGGGGGAGAGGTTTTTTTACATTGCATTCTCCATCGAAAAAAATCAAAATCAGCTCGTTACATTCTTGTTTGGGTTTTTCAGAAACCCTTGTTTTATTTACAATCAAATTACCATAGTAAAAAAATAAAAATCTACAGCTTATTCCATTTTGTTTTTTCTGTTTGCTTGGATTGCTTGTTGAATGAATCTGTTGAGGAGAGGTGAGCTGGAGACTATTGGGAAGCATCTGGAAACGAAGGGTCGTGGCAGGGAACAGTTGGAGCCTTCTGGAATGGGAGGCTGCTCGGGCTTCTTTCGTGGACTAAGGGTCCACTGTTGACTGCTGGATCATGAAGAGGCGGCGGCAAAAATCATATCCATTTGTTAGGGTTTGCCGTGAATGTTAACAAATAAGTTTATTGGGCTTGGGTAAATGGATGATGGGTTATGGGTTGCAATGTAATTAGATTTAAGTAATGGATAGTGTAAATGGTCATTTGGGCTAGTGTGAATTTGGGTTAAATGTAATGGACTTTGGCATTGGGTTGTAATGGAATGGATTAGAATTTGGACTTTAGTGAATGGACATTTGTTTGATGTGGTTTTACTTGATGGTTTGATTTGGTAAAAATAATGGACCACAAGGGACTAGATATTCAATGAGAACGAGCTTTAATTCCGAATGAAGCCAATTTCCCGATCGCCACATTCACGATCGTCATTTCTTAACACTCCCAAATGCCTACTCCAAACTGGTCATCAATCATTTTTTAAATTGATTTGAAGTACCCAGACAAAATTAGGGCATGACAGGTATTTGTAATCATTATTTGATATTCACTCCAGAATATCATAAGCTTCAGTGTATGTCTTATACAATAATGCTCCATTGGCAAAAGCATCCACCACTCTCCGAGTTTGCATATCCAACCCATTGTAGAACATTTTCATTTGCGTCCAATATGGGAATCCATGCATTCAACATTTACACAAGTCTTTGAATCTCTCCCATGCCTCATACAAGTTTTCATCTTCTAATTGCTTAAAACATGTTAAGCCATTTCATATATTTTCATCAGCGGATTGAATCGCATAATTTTTTTTGTGCTAGCTCGTGTCATGATGTTATAGCACTATGTGGAAGCGAATTCAACCAAGCTCTAGCTTTATCTCACAACAAATAAGGAAAAAAATTCAGCTTTAGTGCTTCTTCAGGAACTCCTTACCGAACAAATGAATCCCATAGTTCCATAAATGCTCTAAGGTGTGCTCGTGGATTTTCGGTAAATGAATCACTGTATTACCCCATAGATTGTAACATTTGAAACATCACTAGTTTTAGCTCAAAATTGGCAGCATGAATTGCTGTTCGTATAGTGCCAATATGTAAATCATCGAGTGTTAGCACCACATACTCCCGAATAGGCCGATTGTAGTCATCCATGATATAATGTTGTTGTTGCTTGATTCTTGCTCCAGCTAGTATCTAATCGTCATTTTCATGCTGGAGTGGAGGTAAAGTAGTGTTACCACTTCCAACATTCATGTTTGCTCGATTTCTAATAGCTTCTCTCCGACGGTGATGAAATGTTCGTTCTATTTCTGGATAAAAAGGCCATAGCTCATTATCGCTACGGGACATAAACCAACGTAACTAGAAAAGATAATAAGTACCTACAAAAAGAAAAGAAACAATTAAGTAAGAAAAATTAACTCTAATGCAAAACCATTGCTCACCCGACAACGGTACCAAAAACTTGATGCTAAGATAATGATACAGGAAAGTGCAAGCATACACTGTTGTTGAAGTGGTAGCTCAAAAAACTATAGGTGTCAAACCCAAAGAGAACAATTTGTTGCATAAGAGTTATGTGGCAAATGTTTAGAAAATATGTTGTTGAAGTGGTAAAATAATAAACAACTAGCAAAGTGAAGAAATCAGAATAATGGAAGTAGGGGAATGCTATAATAAATAGTAAAGCAATTAGATCAATAGACCTAAGAACGCTGTTATTACTTGGTACTTGACAGAATGGCAATGCTGTGGCAGTATAATTATGAGTTACACAATAGTTAACAACTTAATTCTTTCTCAAGAATTAAATACTTAACCTAACAGAGTTAATTGTCATCAATTCCATAGATTAAACAGTTCACAAAGCGTAACACCCGACATATACATCTATATATGATTTAGTTTACTATCATAAACACCGATGTTGAAACTAAATTAGCATGCAATCTTAATAATTCTCATCTCTAAATATAATCAAGATTGACACACATGAAGATACATTCATCTCTAAAGACATCCATTAAAATCCCAGCTCATAAATATATAGCTAAAACAAAAAACATAAGTCAAGCATTTCACTAAACACTTTATGTTCGAAACTAAATAAAAACATAGAAGTATTCATTCAAACACAACAAAGTGTTTCCCTTTATCAAGCAAATAACACTAAGAAAAGCTTAAACCCCGATCGATCACCACTACTACACAACTACTTGATCGCTTGTAAATGTATATGCTAAGACAAACAATTCTGTGCAAGAATACACAATCGAATCAAGTAATATAGGGTAAGTGAGTACCGTCTCCTCAAGAATTGGTTGAAAGCTTTTAAGCTTCACCACAACCAGAACTAGTTGTCACAAGCTAATTCCTACTATATTGTTAAACTAAAAAGCTATTATTAATAAAACAAGGAAATACTATAAAGTATGATTGCAGAAAAGTTTGGTCGATAAAAAATAAATATGCAAATTATCAAAATAAAATAAAACAAAGGCAAACGTTGATTCAAATGTAATTCAAACAACCTCACATATTCACACTTATCACAGAGAACTTATGCTAATCTTTTGCATTGACAACAATTATTCTAAGTCCAGAATGAATTATTATGGCATACTTAAGCTGCCCGACAGGATTACTAAGTATTCTTAGACGATTGCTATGGCAATACCACTCAGTGTTAACTACAACCCTTGGTTTGTCAGATTGTTGTTGTAGCAATACCTATCAGCGTGAACTATAGTCGTTGTCTATCCTACTCTAGTGTCTATCCCTTTTAGTCGATTGAAACCCGCTCCTTATCTCTAAGGCAGACAAGTTAGAACATCACCATCTCGGATCCATTCCATTGTTCACGTAGATCTATCTTAATTCTCTCGAATCTAAGAATCACGTAGATGCTCTTACATTTCCAAGACATGTTTCACTAAGACCCCAGGCAATCTCTCGAAGCTCTTACAATGTCAAGGTAAAATATTCAAACAATGAACAAAATAGTCATGAGAAAAAGCATAATTCATCATTCATAAAACAGAAAATAATTGTCTAGGAAAAACAAAGATTAACACCAAGTAAGACAATCATGGTGCTATAAAAAAGTCATCCAAGTATAATCGTTTAATACAACCCCAAATATGTAAAGAAATTAAGAACAAAGGAAGAACGAATCCCAAATCGGGGGCTCTATCGTGACAATTCTGATCAGCACCGCGCCTACCTTAGTGATCAGCCTCTCTCGAGACCTGACCACAACTCTGTTACAGTTTGGCTATGGATGACACCAAGGAAGATCGGTTGGAAAACTGTGGGGAAGCACTGCAGTTGCTTGGTCACACTTTCAGTAAAGCTCTCTAACTTCTCTTCTTCCTTTTGGCGGGTACGGTTGGATATTTATAGAGGGAAATCTCCTAGGGTTTTGCATGATTGGAGATTCCTTAAGTAACTGTTATTACTTTGTCTAGACTAAAAAGGAAAGGTGACTGGCGGCTTTCAGAATTTTGAGGGCTTGCTTGCACGTGAAGGAAGTCATCCAGCTGGCTTGTGACATAGGCGATTTCGTCATATCCTCTTCAGACTTTCCAGATAAACCTTGCCTTGGCAAGATAAATATGCTCCTCATGTTCTTTAGCTTCTCTATTCCTTTGGCCCTTACAAATTACGTTGTTGCGACTGAAATGTTCTTCTTTCATAAATTTTCGGCACATACAAAATCCACACAAACCCTTTCTCCTCAGCAACATCAGTTAAACCAAATAAATCTCGCCGAAACAAAACTTATCCACCACAAGCAAATATAACCTAAATGCAACTAAATGCAAATAAAATACTGTGCATACTTTGTTTAGACGAGCAATAACTTAAGAGAAAAGACTAGAAATTGAGTCTTTTTACGGAGTTATCACACCCCCAAACTTAATTTATTGTTTTTCCTCAAGCAATGTACAATAGCTAGAAGAAAATTAAAATAGTCATGGCAAAACAGTGTTAAGGAAATCATATGGTTTGAGATTTCATCCCTCAGCAAAAAATTTGGCCTCAACATGTTTCACGGTCATATCAGTCAAATCCCTTCCCTAGTCAGTATTCCTTGCTATTGTGTGTGCGTGATTGTAATCCGTCTATGCATTAAGGTAATTAGAAAACTTAAAGTAAGTGCTTCTGGTTTGTTAAGGCATCAAATTATTTGTCAGGCTTAGTTTATACTCATAGTTATTTATCAACTTTTTTTATATGGGGAGTCAGCTCATCACACCTACCTTCCCACACCCTAGGTGAAAGGGAGCATACCTTCCACCCCCAAGCTAGTCGGGTAGAGTCATCTTGTGACTACTTTCATTTACTCACATGCCTTGGCAACTCTCAATTTCTTATGGAGTTTTTCTGTTTATGCCCTTGCATAGAGGAGTGCCCATTTTATTTTCAAGTTTTAAACACTAGGGAGTTCAACCTTAACCTTAAAATATTTTCGATGTCTCGTCATGCAGAAAGCTATTTCCTAAAAATTTCACTGACTACCTTAAGCAGGGACAACCTACAATCGTGTTAGTAAATTTTAAAGAATCAAGCCTATGGTTGGTTCTCTTCTTTAGACAGTTTTAACAATAATTCTGGCCTATGCAATCAAATTATGCATTCATCATTGAGTATCCCTAATTCATTCCAAACAATAAACTTAACATGCTTATGTCATGACAACCAAAATTTTCAACCAAATATTATCAATTTCTTTTTAACAAAATAAGGTACAATACCTCCCCCAAACTTAAGGGATGCATTGTCCTCAATGCATGAGAAATTAAACTACATGAATCTATATGCAAATGCTAAAAAAAGGAAAAATTTAAATACGAGCTTATTTGGTGGTATGGCTTGATTGGATACCCTCGTTCAGCGTCGTTTTATGCGGATGGGGACTCTCAGATCCCTAGTTTACTACTACTATCGTCGAGGGTGATGGCTAAAGAACATGGCATGTCGTTTGCTTGATACGTCTCTTGCTGCTCGAGGCTCGTACTAGAGTTGGTTGTTCTTTAGTAGGAGTGGTTGTATAGGAACTGGAGCTTGGATTTAAGCTGTTTTAGGGACTGGCATTGTTTGAAGGAATTGGGACTGTACTGGAGCTTGCTCAGTTTTGGGGTGGAGAGCAAACTTCTCCCAGTTGTGCTTCCAAATCACGTCTATGACCTCCGGTCCAAATGGCTCTTCATCGTCTGGTGGAAAGACGAACCCGTCTTTCAAATACACTTGTCATTTTTGGAGGTTTTTGAAGCATGCCTCGGCCTCAGCTGTTTGGAAAATCTCAAAGCTCAATGTTGGGGCTGGGTTTTTCTTCGATTTGGCCATGATACTTATTTGGTGCAGTGAGTTTAGTGGCGGCGATGAGGGAAATTTTTTTGAATGAAAGAAAAATTTTGCTTGCTATAGAGAGAGAGAGAGTGAAACACGATGAAGAAGATAGAGTTGAGGGTGGTTTTCTGGAAGGTTAATGGGTGGTTTCATTGGGGTAATTTGGTCAAAACACGAGGGGAAAAGATTTGGCATTTATTGTGTGATATTTGATTGAACGTAAAGTTGGGGAAAAAGATACTTTCCCTTTTTTTTATTATGCTGCCCAAATTTCCTGCCCTAGGGTTTTCTCTCATTTCATGCGTGAACTATCTCCCCATGCTGCCACGTGTACTCTACATGCCTATAATAAATAAAGAAAGAAAATAAAACAAAACGGATAATGAATGCATAAAATAACTTAATTTAGTTATGTACATAATTCAAA